CTGGAGGTCCTCTGCAAGAGCAGTAAGCCCTCCTAATCACTGAGCTATCTCTCTAGCACTGCAGATTAAAAAAAATTTTTTTGGTGTGTGTGTGTGTGTGTGTGTGTATGTGCACATGTGCACACATGCACCACGGTGTGTGTGTGGGCCTCTGAGGATCATTTGTTGGAGTCAGTCTCTTCTTTTTAACATGTGGGTTCTGAATATTGAGCTGGGTGGCAAGTGCCCTTAGCTGACTTTGTCTGATATTTGTCCAGCTCTATCTGTTGTCTTTAAGCTTCCGTCGGAGGGAAGGAAGTACTGTTCCCCACTGCTTTCTTCCAGTCTCTGTGTGCCCAGGAGTGAAGGGAGCTGAGAGTTTAGTGACGCGTCTGCAATCCCAGCATTTGAGAAGTGGAGGAGGACTGAGGATTGGAGGACAGTTTGAGAGAGAACCTCAAGGACAGTGAGAGAATCCGTCTCAAGCAAACAGAAACAACAAAGGTGGAGTGTTTTAGTTCATTGGGCCTCTCCTAGTCTTTTGATTGGATGGGTAATTTAATCCATTCACAGTATTGCACTCACTGATAGTAGGTGGTTATTGAAATTTTATCGGCTTGACCTGTACAGCTATTTATTATTATTATTTATTATTATTATTGGCTTTTGTTTTGCTTTGTTTGTTTGTTTGTTTGTTTGAGACAGGTTTCTGTATGTAGTCCTGGCTGTCCTGAAGCTTTCTGTGGACTCCCTCTGAGTGCTGAGATTAAAGATGTGCATCACCAAGCCTGGTGACATTTAACTATAATTCACTCAGTGTGTGCTTTTCCTGCTAGGCTTGGTGGGGGGCACGCTTGTAATCCCCCATGAGTTTGGGGGTAGTCTGGACTGTGTAGTGAGTACCAGATCCGCCAGGGTACTTAGCAAGACCTTGACAAACAAAACAAAGCAATGTGCTGGGTGTGGTGGAGCATACTTGTAATGCCGATGCTCTAGAGGTAAAGGCAGGAGGACCAGAAGCCCAAGGTTATCTTCAGCTACATAATGAGTTTGCAGCCATCTTGAGAAACCTGAGACCCCCATCCCAAAAAACAAAATCTCAAAACCAAAATCAACAAAAAGTTCCCTGCTCAATTTGGCTAGAAATGTATGATTTTACTAACTTCAGAGAACTACCTTTTCTTCAAATTGGTTTACTTTAATTTTTCTTTATTTCTTCCTTTTATTTATTCTTCTCTCATATATTACAATCTTGACCTCAGTTTACCCTCCCTCCTCTCCTCCAGTCCTCCCACTCTTCAGATCCATTCTTCCTCTGTTTCCCTTCCAGGGTCATCAACCAAACATGGCATATCAAATTACAATAAGACTAGGCACATACCCTCATATTAAGGCTAGGCCAGGCAACCCAGGAGGAGGAAAAGGGTCCCAAAAGTAAGCACAAGAGTCAGAGACAGGCCCTGCTCCCACAGTTAGGTGTCCCACAAGAACACCAAGCTACACAACCATAACATATATGCAGAGGACCTGGATCAGTCCCATGCAGGCTCCCTGAATGTCACTTCAGTCTCTATGAGCACCTACGAGCCCTGATTAGGTGATTCTGTGGGCCTTTTTCTTGTAGTGTCCTTGACCTTTCTGGCTCCTGCAATCCTGCCTCCCTGTCTCCTGTAGTATTTCGAGAGCTCAGCCTAATGTTTGGTTGTGGTTTTCTGCATCTGCTCCTATCAGTTGCCAGGTGTAGCCTCCCTGATAATGATTATCTAGGAGTATAGCAGAATATCATTAGGAATTATTTCATTGACTTAAAAAAAGATTTATTTATTATGTATGTGTTATGCCTGCATGTCAGAAGAGGGGTACCAGATCTGATTATAGATGGTTGTGAGCCACCATGTGGTTGCTGGGAATTGAACTCTGGACCTCTGGAAGAGCAGCCAGTGCTCTTAGCCTTTGAGACATCTCTCCAGTCCCCAACTTCCTTTTTTTCTGTTTATGTTTGGTTCTGCCCTAGGTCTCTGGTCTGTCCCCTCTGGGCAGTGTCAATCATGAGCTCCCTCTCATTGCATGGGTCTCAAGTTGGTCCTGCAAGTTCTATGCTACCTTTATCCCAGCACATCTTGCTGGTAGGATTTGTGGCTGGATTGGTGAACCAATCCCCTACTGGAAGCTTTGCCTGATTCCAGAAGATGTCCTGTTCATGTTCTGTGGTCCCCATTACTAGGAGTCTTCAATAGAGCCAACCTCACAGATTCCTGGGAGTTTCTTCTGCACTGTTTTCTTTATTATTTGTGTGTATGCGGAGGGATGTGTGCATGCATACATACATTTTGTAGTTCAGTTTCCAAATACCTGGGAATTTCCTACATGCACTTTTGGGTTTTAATTTCTTCCCTGATCCTAGGCATTGATACAAGGGCCTCAGGCACACAGTTCTTCCTGCCTGTTCTTGATTTCTAAGTTAAATTTATCCATGGTCACTCTGTAAGACTTAAATATCTCCCAGTGTGGTCTATCTTAATAACACCTATAATATAAAATAATGTATCTTTTTACTGTTTTTAGGTGTTCTATAATGTCAGTGAGTTCAGGTTGGTTAACAGTGTTTTTCAGGTCTTTTGTGTATTTTCTTACTTTTCATTAAGCTATTTTACCAGTTTTATAGGGGACATTGAAATGGGCTTGAAATTGTGCTTGAAATTATTTACCTAGAATTCAGTCAAGTTATCTCCATATTGAAATTTCATTATTAAGTTCATAACCATTCAGGATTTTTATACCATTTCGATGAGTTGACACCTTCAAGTTTTTTAAGATTTTATATTTTTTTAAAGATTTATTTATTGTGTATACGGTATTCTGTCTGCAGGTATGCTTACAGGCCAGAAGAGGGCGCCAGATCTCATTACAGATGGTTGTGAGCCACCATGTGGTTGCTGGGAATTGAACTCAGCACCTCTGGAAGAGCAGCCAGTGCTCTTAACCTCTGAGCTATCTCTCCAGCTCTAAGATTTTATTTTTATTTATGTATATTCAGGTTTGTCTGCATGCTTGGCCTGTGGAGGCCAGAGGGACCTGGGTCAGTTCCCTAGAACTGGAATAAAAAAGGTTGTGAGACACTCTAAGGGTGCTGGGAACCAAATCTGGTTCCTCTCCAAGAGCAGAAAGTGCTCTTAATTCTGAAGCCATCTCTCCAGTCCCAGAATTGACCCCGTCCCTTTACATTTTTTTTTATTTATTTAAAAAATTCTGTGTCTGCGCGGGTGTCTGTGCACATGAATGTGGGTACACTTAGGGGCCAGAAGAGAGCACCAGGTCCTCTGGACCTAGAGGTGCAGGCAGCTGTGGGCCATCTGACATGATTCTGGAAACCTAACTCAAGTACTGTGGAATAGCAAACAAGTACTTTACATTGTGAAGCTGTCTCTCCAATCCTGAACCTTTTATTTTTATAAAATAAAAATTTATGCCAGCTGGTGGTGCCACACACTTTAATCCCAGCACTAAGAAGGCAAAGGCAGGCAGATCCCTGTGAGTTCAAGGCCAGCCTGGTTTACAGAGCTAGTTTCAGAACAGCTAAGGCTGTTACACAGAGAAACCCTGTCTCAAAAAAACAAAAAAAAACCAAAAAAACAAAAAAGTAAAATAAAATTTTATAATATAAATATAACAAAAATTACCTTTGGTATTAATCTTTGCTATTAAGTCTCTTTGACTTTAACATTCAATTTCCTTTTGATAGTTTTAACAAGGCATAACTTTTTTATTTTTCAATTTTTAACATTAAAAAAAGATTTTTAAAAAACTGCTCTATTGCCGTTCGGTGGGGGTACATGCTTTTAATCCCAGCACTCGGAAGGCAGAGGCAGGAGGATCTCTGTGAGTTTGGGACCAGCCTGGTCTACAAGAGCTAGTTCCAGGATAGTCTCCAAAGCCACAGAGAAACCCTGTCTCGAAAAACAAAACAAAAGAACAAAAAACATGCTCTATCTGCATGTACAACTTTATGTCGGAAAAGGGCATCAGATCCTACTATAGATGGTTGTGAACCACCATGAGGTTGTTAGGAAATAGAACTCAGGACCTCTGGAAGCGCAGCCAGTGCTCTTATCCTCTGAGTCATCTCTCCAGCGCACCCCTCCCCCTCCCCCAATATTTATTTGCTTTTATTTTATATGTACGGGTGTTTTGCCTGCAGGTATGTCTGTATATCATGCATGGTCAGTGCCCATGGAGGCCAAAAGAAGGCATTGGATCCTCTGTACTGGAATTGCAGATAGCTGTGCGCCATCAGGTGGGTGCTGGCAACTGAGCCCAGACCTTCTGCAGGGGCAGCAAATGCTCTCAACTGCTGAGCCATCTCTCCAGTCTCCCGAGTTCTAGCTTTAGGGTCATGTCTATAGTGGATCTCTTGATTTCATTGTTGCTTCCTTGCTTGTCTGAGTCAGGGTGACAAAATATAGGTCAGGTTGGCTTGGAGTTCAGTCTTCCTGCCTCAACGTTCTTTTTTTTTTTTTTTTTTTGGTTTTTCGAGACAGGGTTTCTCTGTAGCTTTGGAGGCTGTCCTGGAACTCACTTTGTAGACCAGGCTGGCCTCGAACACACAGAGATCCGCCTGCCTCTGCCTCCCGAGTGCTGCGATTAAAGGCGTGTGCCACCAACGCCCGGCTTGCCTCAACGTTCTTAGTGCTGAGATTATAAGTAAGAGTCACAGGCTCCACTGGGGTTTTTCCTTTTCTTTTTCTTACACACACACACACACACACACACACACACACACACACACACACACAAAAGTTTCAAATACATGTATACATATATATGTGAATAGTGTGTGTGTGTGTGTGTGTGTGTGTGTGAACTTGACACAAGCTAGAGTTATCTAGGAAACGGAACCTCAATTGAGAAAATGCCCCCATCAGATTGCCTGTAGACAAGTCTGTAGTGCATTTTCTTGATTAATGATTGATGTGGGTGGTACCAAGCTAGGCAGGTGGTCCTGGGTTTCATAAGAAAGCAGCTGAACAAGCCATGAGGAGCAAACCAGGAAACAGAGCTTCTTGGAGGTCTCTGCTTTGGCTCCTGCTGTGGCTTCCTTTAGTGACCGGTAAGCTGTAAACCAAGGAAGCCCTTTCCTCCCCAAGATGCTTTTCTTCCTGGAGTTTTATCACGACAATGGAAACCAAACTAAGACTTTATTTACCTGTTGTTCTCATCTCTTTTCTGTCCTTCTTTGATTACTGTTATTGTTATTAGTTGTGTGTGCATGTATATGTGTGTGCTCACATGTCACCATGCATAAGTAATCAGCTAACAACTTGTAGGAGTTGTCCTCTCCTACCAGGTGGGTTCCAGGGATTGAACTCGGGTCTTCTGTGTTGGAGGCAAGCACCCTCACCTGCTGAGCTGTCTCTCCAGCCCCTCTGTTTTTCTTGCTTCAGTTTGATAGTTCCTGACTTTCAATTACTGGTGTTCATACACTATATTTATTGTGATTTTTTTTTTACTGTGGTACGTTAAATTGGCCATTATGCTACTCATTTTATCTCTGCTTCCTTGAATGCTCTTTCAAAAAAATAGTTTAACATTTGTTTACCTGTGTATTGTGTGGGGCACATGTGTTAGCATGCATGTGAAGGCTTGAGGACAACTTTCAGGAGTCAGTGCTCTCCTTTTGCCATGTGGTTCCCAGAACTGAACTCATTGCCTCAAGCCGGGTCATAACCAACGTCTTACCCAATAAGGCATCTTGCTGACCCCAAGCACTAAAACATTTTATTTATTTATTTATTTTCTTTGTTGTTGGAGATGGAGTCCAGGGTCTTGCATATACTTTCTTAGATTCACTGAGCATATTTTGAGGCTGGCTTTGAACTTACTGTGTGGCTCAGGCTAGTCTTGAACCGAAGATCCTTATGTCTCTCGTATTCAATTGACGTGAGCCCTTTTTTTAAAAGCAGTGTCTCACTATGCCATCCAGGCTGGTGTCTAACTTGTGACCGTCATCTCCGACCCTCACGCCTTGTTGCTAACCCTGGCTCCAGAATGAGTGTGTGTTAGCATTACAGTTTAGGCCTTTTGTTTGTTGGCCTAGCTTGTTACAACTTTATTGTCATAGTTCTTGTAGTGTTTACTTTAGAATTTACCGTTTAGACTTTTTTATCCATATTGTACACTCAAATAATGCTATGCCACTTCATATGTAGTATGAGGCACACGTTATTCCTTTCAGCATTTTTGTGTTTATTTGAGACAGGGTCTTGTTATGTAACCTTGGATTGCCTGGAACTCACTATGTAGACAAGGTGGTCTCAAACTCACAGAGATCCAAGGTATGTGCCATCATGCTCAGCTTCCAGACTGTTTTAGAAGTCAGGATTCTCCTACCATTGTCTCCCAAGTGCTAGAATTCAGGCATGAGGCCTGGTTAAAGTAATCAGATTTTAAGACAATGTCAAGATTAGTCATTTGAGGTGGACGTGATAGTTGGTGCCAGTAACCTCACCACTTGGGAGGCTGTAGCAGGAAGATGGCTACAAGTTCAAGGCCAGCCTGGACTTACATGGGAGAACTTTATCTAAAAGCAACAACAGCAGCAATAATGAGAAACAACAAACAGCAAGCAAACAAAAAAGTAATTTGAATACTGGAAGTGGTATTACACTTTAATTTCAGTACTAGGCAGGATGAAGCAAGAGCTAACCAAAGCTATATATTGAGATTTTTTTTTGTCTCCAGAACAAAACAAATTTAACACTGGGCAGCAGTGGCACATGCCTTTAATGCCAGCACTCAGGAGCAGAGTCAGGGGGATCTCTGTGAGTTCCAGGCCAGCCTGGTCTACATAGTGAGTTCCAGGCCAGCTAGGGCTATACAGAGGAGAAACTCTATCTATAATAAATAAATAAATAGAATAAAACAAATCTAACAAGATAAACAAATAAAACAACAATTTGAAATTAATCTTTTTTTAAGACAGGATTTCTCTGAGTATCCCTGGCTGTCCTGGAACTTGCTCTGTAGACCAGGCTGGCCTCAAACTCAGAACTCAGAGATCTGCCTGCCTCTGCCTCCCAAGTGCTGGGATTAAAAGCATGGGCTACCATACCCAGAGAAATTAATCTTAAGAAAAATTAATGCTTCAGTCTTGATTCTAAATTATTTACTTGCTTTGGTTCTCCAGAGATACTGCCCAGATAAGGACTCTTCCTGCTCTTGCAGAGAACCTGGGTTTGGTTCCCAGTGCCCATATGTCAGTTGATAACGTACTATAATAGGTCCAGGGGACCTAGCATCCCCTCATGGCCTCCTTGCCCACCAGGCAAACACATGGTGCAATTATATACAGGTAGGCACTCATACTTAAAATAAAATAAAATTTACTTATTTCAATGTATGGTTGAGAAACATTTTGTTTTTGTTTTGAGATGGGGCCTTACTTTGTGGCCCTGATTGGCCTGAAACTTGGATTGTAGACAGGGCTAGCCTTGAACTCCCAGAGATCCATCTTCTTCTACTTCTCCAATGCTGGGACTAAGACATGCATCATCACACCCAACTGAGAAATATAATTTAAATGAAGGAATACCTGATTAAATGCTGGTTGGAAGTTATAGGTTTCATGTACTTAATAAAAGTTAGAGAAAATACATATTATTTTCAATTTGAGTCTTTATATGAAATAGTAAAGTTGGGTCTTTTCTTTCTGTTTCCTAACTGTAATAGACACTGCTCTTTCCATTCAGCATGTGTGCATATGTCTCTCTCTCTCTCTCTCTCTCTCTCTCTCTCTCTCTCTCTCTCTCTCTCTCTCTCTCTCTCTGTGGTGTGTGTGTGGTGTGTGGTGTGTGGTGTGTGGTGTGTGGTGTGTGGTGTGTGGTGTGTGATGTGTGGTGTGTGGTGTGTGGTGTGTGGTGTGTGGTGTGTGGTGTGTGTATGTGTGTGTGTAGATAAGAGGGCAACTCGTGGGAGTCTCCCACTATGTGTGTCCTGGGGATCATTCTCGGCTGTCATTCTTGTCTGGATACACTTTTGTTCCATGAGACATGTGACTGACCCCCCAAACAGGGCTTTTATAACTTTGTTTTGAACCCCGTCATCACCTGAAGGTCAGCCTGTCAAACCAAAGAGACTGGAAGAGCCTTGCCGTGTGATAGGGGACCGTGGCTGGTGCTGGGGAATAGGCAGTGGAGGAAGAAAAACGGAAGAAATGAGCACTAAGGAGGGCCGAGAACTGTCATTTTGAGTCCCTCTGCCAGGTGCCCTCCAATGCGGCTTCAGTCTTTGCAGCAGCCCTCTGAGACAGTGCTGGCAGTACCTCCGTTTTACTGAGGGGACCCAGAAACTGAAGAGAGTCACTGGGCAGTAGTCAGTGGTGAAGCTAAGGTTTGAACCCCGGTCTGAGTGAGCACAGGCAAAGGAGAGGTTTCATCTGCTTGTGGCTAGGGCCAACTCCTGGGCCATGCAACTGCTCTTGGGTGTTTCTTTAGTTGTAGTCGAGTCTTCAACAGGATGAGGACCCCTTGAATGGACCTGGGGGCTACGCACCCCCCCCCACACATGTCTTGCTTCAGTTCTGCACGGGAACTAGTTAAGCCTTCCCAGGTAGGGTAATCAGACAAAGGTAACTGTCACCTTTTGTTTCATCCTGTGCTTTTATTTTTCAAATTCTAGAGCTGACCTCTGAACTCAATCTGCACTTGTCTATTGATGCATAAATAGCTGTAATATCATAGTAAATTAAATTCTGTTTTAAAGGGTATCTATTTAACAATCTGTCAGAAGTTTCAGAGCATTTGATTTCTTGTCTTCTCTGTCCAGTGACAGGTTTATCTCAATGTGGCTTGATTAATGAAACCTTTTATTTGGTGTAAGCACACCTATTACAACCATAATCTCTTAATGCTTGCTTAGGCAACATTGGGGTCTGGAGAAAGGGACTGAAAACTTGTAGCTTCTGGACCTGCATGGGAACCGTGGGTGAGGCCAAGCCGGGAGGCCAGTGACCTGCCAGTGCATGGTATAGTGACGCTAGCTAGAGTGGGCTGAACGACAGAGCACCGTCTTAAGGCCTCGGCTCAATTCCCAAGAAACCCAATGGCGTTTAAAAACATGTTTCCCACTTACTGCCAACTAATCCGGCCTCCTGCCGCCCCAAAGTTGCCCTTGCGAGTCAGTCACTGGGGAGGGGGGTGGGGCTGCGTGGAAGCAGCCTTCCTCTGGAGCAAGGAATTTGCAAATCGCAGGTATCTAAGATGTGGGATGAAGGCGGAAATAAAGGAAAACTTGGAACCTGAGAGTGTTAATGAAGCCACGGAGTCGGGCACTAATAGCTCTTGAGAAGTAGAAATGACTTTATGATGGATATTCCCCAGTAACCTTTTCAGAAACACTCGGCTGAATTGTTTGTTCCTGCCCCTTGTTCAGCTGGCAGAGGAGCTGCGGCTCCCACTGGGTTGAAGCCTTGGCAGCCTTGGGCTCTGCAAACTCTGGGGGAAGGCTGCCTTGGGTTGCAGCGGCACCATTGTTTTACCTTTCTGTTAAAGCACTTAGGAGCAAGAACAGTGAGCACTGAACATAAAACGTGACACTTGTTCTGCTAAGACATTGTCTTTTTTGCAGTCTTTTCTATCTAGATATCGCTACACTATTAAAATGATAGACTCCCCCCTTACCTGTGTGTGCCTGCTTTGCCTGAAATGTGTCATCACTGTTTTCTTTCTTTTGTTAAGTGTCATTATTTTTTAGCGTGCTGTACTTATGGTGTTAAGTACCATAAAGCCCATTTGGAAAGAGTCTTGTTATTAGTACTAGAGGTAGGAAAGAGAACAAGGTAATATTATAACTATAATAAGGTTTTTAACAAAACCAGTGGAACACACCTGTTATTTAAAAGCCACGATCACTGGTGTTCTTTGTTGAGACCTGAACGGTGAAAAGATATTGCATAAAATATTTAAAGAAGCCTTTTATTCAGTGAATGTACTAGCTTGATTATTAATCTGATCACTTGAATTTGTGACTTTTTATTACCTATGCATGCTTATACAGACTTTAAAATAGCCATATTTTCTATCTGGAGTTTTAGCATTTCATGCTAAACTGATA